AATTACAGATACCTAGGTAAATATAATAGGCTTTTTTCCTCCTCGTAAGTTACTGAAAGCATATTTGACTGTGTTTTTTTTTTTTTTAAGATTTTATTTTTTGACAGAGAGAGACAGCGAGAGAGGGAACACAAGCAGGGGGAGTGGGAGAGGGAGAAGCAGGCCTCCTGCTGAGCAGGGAGCCCGATGCAGGGCTCGATCCTAGGACCCTGGGATCATGACCTGAGCCAAAGGCAGACACGTTTAACGACTGAGCCGCCCAGGTGCCCCGGAAAGTATATCTGACTGTTGAAAGCAAAAATTACGGGTGCCTGGGTGGCTCAGTTGGTTAAGCGACTGCCTTTGGCTCGGGTCATGATCCTGGGGTCCTGGGATCGAGTCCCACATCGGGCTCCCGGCTCAGCGGGGAGCCTGCTTCTCCCTCTGACCCTTTCCCCTCTCATGCTGTTTCTCTCCGCTCCGCTCTCTAATAAATAAATAAAATCTTTAAAAAAAAAATTACTCTTTTATTAGGGGTTTCAATATATGTAGATAGATATATATAGGACAAAATATGTGTAACATAAGGGCAAGGGTAACATAAAGGGACCTGTATGGTTGTTAGGCTATGACATTTTATTAAAATCATAAAAATATTGGGCGCCTGGGTGGCTCAGTTGGTTAAGTGACTGCCTTCGGCTCAGGTCATGATCCTGGAGTCCCAGGATCGAGTCCCACATCGGGCTTCCTGCTCAGCAGGGAGTCTGCTTCTCCCTCTGACCCTCTTCCCTCTCGTGCTTTCTATCTCTCATTCTCTCTCTCTGAAATAAATAAAATCTTTAAAAAAAAATCATAAAAATATTAATTCTAAGTGGATGGTAATCACTAGGCCAACCACTAGAAGCATAATACAAAAAGATACAGCCAGAAAAAGCAGAGATAAATTTAAAAATGAAATACTAAAAGTTCAAATAATGTGTTTTAGAAAGACAGGAAAGAGGAAACAAAAAAAGGAGAAAACCAGAAAACAATAAAATGGAAGATCTAGCTATATCAATAATTACATTAAGTGTAATCAACACCAGCAGAATATACATTCTTTTAAAGTATATGGAACATTAATCAATATCAAGCATATTCTGGGCCATAAAGCTAACCTTAACAAATTTAAGAGAACTGAAATTACACAAAGCAGAAATCAATAAAGGAAAGGTATCTCAAAAATACCCAACTATTTGAAAATTAAATAACTCATGGATCAAAGAGGAAGCATCAAAGAGTATTGAAAGAAAATAAAAATAATAATAAAATTTGTGGGACACAGCTAATGCAGGGTTTAGAGAGGTTTGTAACATTAAATGCTTATAGCAGAAAAGAGGGGTCTCAAATTAACAAGTTAGGCTTCTACCACAAGAAACTAGAAAAATAGAGCATAATAAACCTAAATCAAGCAGGAAAAAGGAAATAATGAGAACAGCAAAAATCAATGAAATTGCCAACAAAGGAGAAAAAGAATCAATAAAATCAATACACTTCTATCCCAGACCACAAGAAAGAGAGAAGACACAAATCACCAACATCAGGAAATGCTACCAACAACTCTATACCCATAAATTTGACAACTCAGATAAAATAGACCAATTCCTTCAAAGATACAAACTACCAAACACAGTCAAGAATAAACACACAAGGCAAATAGTTCCATATCAAAGAAACTGAATTCATAGCAAAAAACTTTCTGACAAAGAAAACTCCAGGTCCAGATGGTTTCACTAACAAATTCAATCAAACATTTGTGGAAGAAATAGTACTACCCAATCTCTTGCAGAAAAGAGAAAAGAAGGGGGCAGTCCCCAATTCATTTATGAGGTCAGCAATAACCAGACACCAAAATCTGACAAAGCCATTACAAAAGGAAAACTACAGGCCAATATCCACTGCAAAGATGGATGCAAAAAATTTAGAGAATTGAATTCATCAACATATAAAAAAGAATAATATATCACAGTTGTTGGGGTTTATCCTGGGAATGCAAGGCAATGAATATATTTGAAAATCAGTCAATGTAATTCACTATATTGAAAGACTAACTAAGAAAACTACACAATCATTTCAACAGATGAAGAAAAAGCATTTGGCAAAATTCAACCTCTATTCATTATAAAAACCATTAGCAAATTAGGAAATGTAAAGAATTTCTTTAATGTGGTAAGAAATCTACAAAAACCCTACCGTTAACATCATACTCAATGGCAAAAGGTTGATTTCTTTCCTCCAAAGATCAAGAACATGTTCAGGATGTCGACACCCAACACTTTCATTAAACACTGTATAGGAATGTTATTCCTGTGTGTTACGGCAGGAATGAAAAAGATGTAAGATTGGAAAAGAAAAAATAAAACTATCCTTATTTGCAGATGACATAATTTCCCACATTAAAAAGTCCTAAGGAATCTTAAAAAAGCCCCCTAGAATAAATAAATTGCATACATTTGAAGGATTTAAGATCAACATATTTAAAAAATTGTCTGTATTTTTATAATCTACCAATAAATAATTGGAATTTGAAAACTCTCAAAAGTATCATTTACAATAAATAGCACCAAAAATATTTAGGATATATATCTCTAACTATATGCAAGATCTATTTGCCCCAAACTATAAAAGACTAGTCAAAGTCATGAACTGTTAAAACTCAGTACATTATTAACAGTTCAGATTTCCTCAAACTGCTATATATTCAAGGAAGTCAGTCATAATTCCAGTGGGATTTTTTTTCTTTTCTGGTAAATACTTAGCACTGATTTGAAAATTTATATGGAAAAGGAAACGAATTAGAATAGGCAAAACAATTTTGAAAAAGAACAAATTTGGAGGACTCACGACTACCCTTTTGTAAGACTTACTGTAAAGCTACAGCAATCAAAACTGTGGTATTTCTTAAAGCATAAACACATAGATCAATATAAAGAATTGAGAGTCCAAAACCAGATTCATACAAATATGGTCAACTGATTTTTGACAAAGATGCAAAGGCAAAAAAGGAGAAAGGACTCTTTTCAACAAATGGTGCTGGAAAAGCTGGACTTTTATATGCCAAAAAATTAACTTCAACCCATACCTCACCTTACACAAAATAAAATCAAAATGGATGAGACCTGGGGGGCCTGGCTGGCTCAGTCAGTAGAGCACGCTACTCTTGATCTCTCGGGGTTCTGAGTTTGAGCCCCATGTTGGGTGCAGAGCTTACTTTAAAAAGTGGGGGGTGGAGATCATAGACCTAAATGTAAAATGCAAAAGTTAAAAACTTCTCGAAGAAAACAGAACATTTTTGTGACCATAGGTTAGGCAAAGATTTCTTAGGACACAAGCACAAATCATAAAAGGAAAAGGGATAAATTAGACCTCATTGCAATTTAAATTTAAATTTGTCTTTCAGAGATATTTGAGGGCTGTGGGAATTCAGAGGATATAAGCACGAATTCTGCTGGAGTAACTTCCACAAAGTGATTTTGAAGATAGTCTTCATAGATAACAAAGTGTCTGCTGGGCTGAAAAAAAATGGAGGGGCCATTCTAGCTAGAGAAAAACTTGTCCAAAGATGATTGTGAAAGGGGCTTACAGGTGCCAGGAACAATGAGAAATTCAGTCATTATAGAAGAGGAAAAGAGGAAAGAGTGGAACCAGACAGTAAAATATGGAAAGGGAGAATTTTTACATACTATTTTAATGTTTTTCCCCGGAAGCACTAAGAAGTATTTTACCAGTGTGAGGGATTCTAATGAGAAGCAAGAGACAAGTTCTTCCACAGGAGGCAGTGGGGATGGTAGCAAGAGAACTTCGAAGACCTAATAGTAAGAACTGGGTTGACGGTGATGATTTGAACTACAAATGAAGCAGTAACACTTGTCTGGAAGAAACTAGTCTTAGATTCATATTTTAGACAGAAATTACAAAAGCTTTGTTCTACAAATGGAAAGAGGGAATAATGATTGCAAAGTGCCCTGAATTGGGGAAAAAGGAGTATAAAACCTTACTAGGATTAGCCACATCCATAATGTCTTCGACTCTAACATTGACTTTCCATTATACTAATTTCCCTGTACAACAAAATGAGAATTTTTTAGAAATGTATTAGCAGATATTTGGGGGATACCAGTGTCTTGAGTCCAGAGAGAAGCTAGGAAGTACATCACAAAACAAGGTTTAACTTTGAAAGCACCACTCTACTTATACAAAAGAGGTAAGCAGGAATATAGGCTCTACAACCAGACAAACCTGAGTGCAGACTCCAGCTCTGTCACTTACTAGTTGTAGGGACCTGCACAATTCATTTACTCTTGGCTCTACCATCTATATATTGGAGATAACAGTGCATATCTCACAACATTGCTACTAGGTCCTAGTACAGAGGTGGTGGCTATTTTATTGTTATAAGTGTTTTCCCTTACCATTTTCCTTAAAATAGTTGACATGAGGCAGTGCTTCTTAAAACAGTTCCTCCAAATGTTCCCTTAACTACAGAGTAAAGTGAAACACACCCAAGGACTTGGAGACATAGTCTGGAGCCTACACAAAATTTTTAAATTTTATCTTAATTATATTCATGTGCATGCTACACATAATATAACCATGTTTAATAGTAAAATATTCATCTTCAGGTAAAACTGACATACCAAGAAAATATGTCAGTTTATACTACAACAGGGCCCCCAATACAATGCCTCATATCCATAAAGCCACCTCAAGATGTCTCAGATTAGAAAAATCTGGATAGAAACTATGTAAATTATGTGTCATGTGGTAGAAAGTAAAAAAAACCAGAAGTTTTCAACCTAAACCCCAAAACTTTCCTACAGGGAAGGAGCATTAAAAAAAAATTGGTATCTAAAATACCCACCTATACATTTGTCCTGAAAATTTATCTAGACCTGCTTCAAGCTAAGAAAGCTTCAAACCCAGTCTATTAGCATAAAAATAGTGGAAAGCCCTAATTATGAATCTAAACTTGAAAACTTTACCTGTTTTCTTCTTTTTATCAGAAGTAGCATCCAATGTATTTAAGGTAGTAGAGGCGCTTTTATAAATATCATGACTGCATACTCCAGAATCTTCTTCATCAGAAGAAAATGAAGATAAATGGTCCAAGTTTTTAAGTTCATTATCGACTTTTTCTGATGGACTGTTGCTCCCAGTTTCAGACACTAATGGTGTGGGTGTCGTAGAAGAAGTCTTTGGAAGCGGTGGGGGACAAAGTGTACGAACAGTCTGGGTCCCTGGTCGTCTAGTCCTGTTGGGCATTCGGACGGCAAGAGTGGAAAACTGCTGCTTGGGCCCGGATTTCAGAAAATCTAAGAAAGAGGCAATAAATCCTGTTTTGACTTCTGGCTGTTTTTCCTCTACTTCTTTGATCTTCTGTCTCATTTTTTCTTGGTGCTGATAACCATCGTGGCAGCTTTCTGAGGAAGGAGGGGTGTATGGCAAATACACATCTGTTCCCCTTGGATTCTGGCGTTTGCCCTGGGCAGTTCTTTTCGACTGTTTCTGATTACTGTTGTCTTCCTCTTTCATTTGCCCCTTCCCGGGTTTTTTCTTCTGCAGGTTAAAATGCATTAAATCTTGGTTTTCCTCTTCAATCTTGACACCAACGGCCTCCCCAGGTTGGGCCATGGCCAACAGTGCAAGTGCACTTCTAGATGGGTTCACCGACACACTGCTGTCATCACCCCCTAAGGTGAGCTCACTCTCCGATGCAGCACTCTCTCCACTTATACTTCTACTAGAAATAAACTCCTGGCTTCTGTTATTGTTTAACGTATTATCAATAGGAACTTCGCTATCCTCTTCCGATTCATGATTGGTAGCAGACTGTTTCTTGAATGAGCCAGAACTTTGCTCCTGGGCTTCATGACTTGGTCCAACCACTGGTGAAATTACTTTAGATGCTTTATTTTGACCAGTTTCAATATGCTGTTGATCAAGAGTCATTTTTGACTGGAGGGTAGGTACTGGTGAAAGGTTTACAGTGACTTGATTTCCATTTAAGGATATATCATTTATATTCTGTGGCTTTCCTACTGCAGTTGTTATGGAGTTAAAATCTGAAGTCACATGCCCAACATCTAATGACTGTTGAAAATGAGATTTAGAATCACCATCTTCAACTGCTGTAATGGTTTCATTTGAAGTTGACTTGGAAAAATCAGAAGGAGTAACCCCACAAGCTGCTGCTGTAGCTGCTAAGATATCATCTACATTTGATAAAATATTTCTCTCATCACTGAGAAGCATTGCCTCTGGGAAACATATTGATCCAAGAGAAACAAAATGATTCTTCGAATCATGTTGATTTGTTTCACTAAAATGGCCCTTTGTTGTTAGATGTTGTTGTAATGGTTTTGAAGACTCAGAGAGGTCCATTTTTATGATTTCAGAAGTTTGAGGATGGAGTTGCTGCTGAGAATGATCACCATTGCTCTGAATAATATGACCATCCATTTGAAGGAAAGGATGTACTATTTGTTGAGGACTTTGAACACGCTGTACTTGTAAAGATGCCTTTACTTGTCCTAAACCTGCCTGCAGTATTGACTGCTGAAGAATTTGTAGATCACAGGTAGAATCTAAAAGAACCTGTGTATTAGGAAGAGATGCCTGATGGCCATGCCCTAAAGAATGATTTGGAATTTGAATCTGAGATGAAGCATTGATTATTTGATCATGTTGCTCCTGGACCTTGGCTTCATGTACCTTGTGTATAAGAGCATGCTGCTGCGTGAGGTCTTTAGCATTCAATCTTATTTGTGGTGTTTGCATTAAATTAGTTGCCTTCTTAATATCAAGAGTTGCTGCACTGACTTGGCCAATTTGTTGGGTAAGTTGTGTCACTGAACCAACCATGCTTTCTTCTTTTTTTGACCCTTGTAGGGCAATCCCAACAACCTGATCCTCAAGACGAGAATTACTTCTGATCACACTCTGAGAATATCTGTCCTCTGCCTTTGACACCTTATAAGCGGATTCTTGAACATTGATTTCTCCATCAGATAGCCTTTGGGTTGATGACTCAAGAGATACTTGTGGCTGTAATACCTGTAACTCCTGCATTGGAAAATCCTCTTCTTGCTTTGAAGATGTATACACATTTGAGTCAAGTTTTCTTTCAGCATAAGACTTTGGATCAGGGGAAGGTATGTTGTTCTGTAATGTCTGACAGTGGGTAGAAGTTGCAAAAGATGATGACTGGACAGCAGGCAAAAACTTTTGGGACTGGGGAGATGATGACCCTTGAGTCTGAGCATTTTGGGAAGAATGCATAGAAATATAATTCTGGTTTGGACTAGAATCTGACAAATTCTGAGCCCGAGAGGCGGAAGAGTAAGAAAGAGAAGGGGCTGTTAATGTTAGGGACTGCCCTGAAGCATAGCTTTCTGAGGGGCTAACAACTGACAATACTTGTGACTGAGATGAATAACTAACCTGTGTCTGGCTAACTGGTGATAAACCCTGAGAATGGCTAGATGAATAACTCTGAGACTGACTAACTGAAGATAGATCTCTCGTTTGAGCAGGGTAGTTCTCATTTGTAACTGAAGATAATACTTCCTGTTGATTAGAGGAATAATTAAGGGTCTGATTTTCAGAAGTTATAGTCTGAGATGATCCAGAGAAAGTCAATGTTTTATATAAGGATGGCAACTTCTCGACTTTGTTGGACCTATACACCTGTGAATGAACAATAGATGGCACATTATGTGGCTGTCCTAAACCGTAATTCTGGGACTGACTGACTGATAAAAGGCTTGGTAGCTGCGCTGTAGAATAAATCTGTGCTTGGCCCGATATTACAGAACTCGGATTATGTAAAGGTTTGGAATAGCTTAATGTTTGCACAGGAGGAATTATACTTTGAGGTTTGGGGGTCTTAGTTGACGTTAGTGGTTGTTTCGTAGAACAGCTTTTTACTTTTGTGGTAGAAGGAGGAAACCCTGATGATGGAATTGCAGATGAGTAAGACTGAGCAAGATCCACTGACACCTGGGAGGTCTTCTGTTGTAATCCTCCATTGCTCACCTGAGTAGAATCTCCGATTGGGCTACAGGATAAAGATGACTGCCTGCTTGTTTCCTGAAAATTAACTACACTTGCATTTGATAGATAGCTATGTAAGGAATGCTGTGAACCAGTCAGTTGTGCCTGAATAGACTGGGTACCTGAAGGCCGCTGATGGTGTTTAATAACACTACATTCTCGAAGAAGAGCTCTTTCAATGGAAGCAGTAGAACTAGTAAAGAGAGTTGAACTGTAGGCTTGAGGAGTTTGCTGGGCTCCCCCAAGTGCTGAAGGCAACAAACTAAATTGAGGTTGTAAAAGATGGGGTGCAGACTCTTGAGCTGAGCGGTATGTTGAAGACTGAGGTGGTATGCTGTTACTTAACGCAGAACTGCCCAGGCGCTCAAATGCCAAAGCAGTTGGAACAGTTCCCTGGGAAGTCTTGATTTGTAGCAAAGGGTCATGAGGATTTAAAATTCCATTTGATGTAGTGTTAAAAGATGAATCCTGAAGCACCAAAGGTGAGGTGGTAGCAAAGTTTCTATTGCTGAAGGTGGTGGGATGCTGATAAGCAGAGAGGGCAGAGGGTGGAAGTGTTCCAGTGGTTGGCAAAGGTCCAGTAACAAACAGCTCAGTTGCTGCTGAGGAATGCATACCTAGGAAGAGAAAACAAAAAAATTTATGCAATTACAGCACAAATACACACACGTCTTCACAGTAGAGACTTACATAACCTTTAACCCATTAAAATCTCTAAGACTGAAAAGACTGACAAATTAGTTCTGCATGTAAATTTCAAAAATTACATTTCAAAAACAGCTAGCTTTCTTTTTTTATTTTTACTTCTGAGAGAGACAGTGTGTGTGTGTATGGGTGGGGGGGGCAGAGGGGAAGAATCTTTTTTTTATGATTTATTTATTTATTTTAGAGAGAGCAAGTGAGCACAGGGCGGAGGGGCAGAGGGAGAGAGGGAGTCCCAAGCAGACTCCACCCTAAGCATGGAATACAACATGGAACTTGATCTCATGACCTAAGCTGAAACCAAGAGTTGGTTGCTTAACTGACTGAGCCACCCAGGTGACTTAAAATAGCTAGCTTTCTTAAAGCAAAAACAAAATTACAAAGGTATTAGCAATTCCTATCTATATAAATGAATTTATATATGTTAGATAAGGTCACCTGAAAATTAAAATAAAAATGTGGCTGGGTGATAGACACTGGGGAGGGTATGTGCTATGGTGAGCACTGTGAATTATGTTAAGACTGATGAATCACAGACCTGTACCTCTGAAACAAATAATACATTATATGTTAAAAAAAAAAAAAAAGAGAGAGAGAGAAGATAGTAGGAAGGGAAAAATGAAGGGGGGGAATAGGAGGGGGAGATGAACCATGAGAGACTATGGACTCTGAGAAACAAACTGAGGGTTCTAGAGGGGAGGGGGGTGGGGGGATGGGTTAGCCTGGTGATGGGTATTAAAGAGGGCACGCACTGCATGGAACACTGGGTGTTATATGCAAACAATGAATCATGGAAAACTACATCAAAAACTAATGATGTAATGTATGGTGATTAACATAACAAAATAAAATTTAAAAAAATGTACATAATCTCTAGTGATTAATTTATCCTAAAAATCTCAATGCAAAAGCATCAGACAAGCTAAAATATTCATAACATTAAAATTAAACCCAAACTGCCTACATTTAACATGATAAATAAATCTAAAAATAAACAGTGAGGTTAATACTGCAAAGTTTCTTTTATCAAAATATATACATTTTGGGGGCACCTGGGTGGCTCAGTCAGTTAGGCATCTGACTTGATTTTGGCTAAGGTCATGATCTCAGGGTCGTGGAACTGAGGCCCACAATGGGCTCCTCACTCAGTGAAAGTCAGCTGGAGATTCTCTCTCTCCTTCTGCCTCCCCCTCCATGCACTCTCTCTCTCTAATAAGTAAATAAACCTTAAAATACAGGGCACCTGGGTGGCTCAGTTGGTTAAGCGACTGCCTTCAGCTCGGGTCATGATCCTGGAGTCCCGGGATCGAGTACCGCATCGGGCTCCCTGCTCGGAGGGGAGTCTGCTTCTCCCTCTGACCCTCCCCCCTCTCATGTGCTCTCTCTCTCTCATTCTCACTCTCTCAAATAAATAAAGTCTTTTAAAAAAAAACCCTTAAAATACATACGTATATATGTGTGTATATATACACACACTTAAAAATATCTTGGATTTCAACTTTTGGCTTCCTATGAACAAATTCCCAAGATAATAGACGTATGCTTATCCTAAAAGGCTGATCAGAAATTAGTATTGTCAAGGAGATTTATTACCATTTCAGGAAAGCATTCTAGCCACATATAGCAAAAGTTAACGTATACTCTTATGATCTAAAAGTTCTACTTCTAGAAATTTATTTTATGGAAATTAAGTGGACAAAAAGATATTTGTACAAGATACTCTTTATAGTTATTGTGTGTGCTAATAAGTAGAAACCCATATGTCCATCAACACAGGATTGATCAAGTAATTATGGCATAACTGATTAATACTATTGCTATAAACACTAAGTGGATATATATGTTTTAATATACAAAGATATCAAAAAAGAGAAAATATCAAACTGTTAACTCTTCTCTACAAAAGTAGGACTGTAGGGCACCCAGGTGGCTCAGTTGGTTAAGCGACTGCCTTTGGCTCAGGTCATGATCCTGGAGTCCCAGGATCGAGTCCCGCATCGGCTCCCTGCTCTGCGGGGAGTCTGCTTCTCCCTCTGACCCTCCCCCCTCTCATGTGCTCTCTCTCTCTCATTCTCTCTCTCAAATAAATTTATAAAAAACACAAAAAAACAAAAGTGGGACTGTAGTAAGGAACTTTCACTTTCCCTTTTGTAGACCTTGTTACTGTTTACATGTTTTTTAGTGAACTGCCATTAAAATTTTTTTAGTTAGGGCACCAGGATGACTCAGTTGTTAAGCGTCTGCCTTCGGCTCAGGTCATGATCCAGGGTCCTGGGATCGAGTCCCACATCGGGCTCCCTTTTCTCCCTCTCCCACTCCCCCTGCTTGTGTTCCCTCTCTCGCTGTATCTTTCTCTGTCAAATAAAGTAAAAAAAAACTTTAAATTAAAAAATAATTTTTTTATTTCAAAAAACAGGGGAAAGAAGATTCTCTGGCCCTTTCAAAAACCTTCTTCTCTCACTTCTTCCCATTAAATGTCAAAAAAGTATTAATACTATGAAGACAGAAAATAATATAGTTGCACTGAAAAGAATGAATAACACTTAAAATTTATGTTTAAAATAATACAATCATAGAAACTGGAACAGAAAATCTAAGGGGCACCTGGGTGGCTCGGTCGTTAAGCGTCTGCCTTCGGCTCAGGTCACGGTCCCAGGGTCCTGGGATTGAGCCCCGCATCGGGCTCCCTGCTCCGCAGGAAGCCTGCTTCTCCCTCTCCCACTCCCCCTGCCTGTGTTCCCTCTCTCGCTGTGTCTATTTTTGTCAAATAAATAAATAAAATCTTAAAAAAAAAAATCCAACTAAATATATATAATGTACAATTATTCCAGGAAGCAAAAAATGAAACTACTTTGTTTTATAATATTCTCTTTTATGTCACACTAAAACATTAATTATCTCCTTGGAGCATACTGAAAAGCTCTATTAATGGAATTAATTCACATAATGTAAATCCATGTAATGGAATTTACAGCAGAATGATAAAATATTATTTCCTACCGCTACTACTTTAAAATATCTCCTCAAATATGCTATGAAATTTCTTATTCTTTAAAATAAAACCTTAAAAAACCACCTAATTTCCTGTCACCCTGAAAAAGGTAAAAATATATACAAATAACTTTGGGGGAGAAATAGTTGAAAAATGGAATGTATATATAAATAGGGAAAATACAATAGTATCAGCCTATAACCTTTACTAAATAGTGATGTAATCCTGTTCAATTCTGGATAATGTTAACATAACTCTAATGATGAAATCAGTCCCAAGATTGTTTTTTACTATACTACCTACTCAGCCTAAGTCACGAAGTTAAATAAGTTTAATTGTTCACCAAAAAAAAAAAAAAAAGATAAATATGGAGGTGATGGATTAACCAGATGGAGGGGGAATTTTCACAAGGTAATGCACAGCAAATCACCACAATGCACACTTTAAACATCTGACAGTTTTATATGTCAATTAGATCTCAATAAAGCTGAAATGGAAAAATAAAACAAACTGAATGTTTGCTTCTATTAAGTAGACAAGTAACCTTAACTTAAATTGCCAGATAAGACCTTTATATCTAGGGTTTATATTTAATAATTACCTTCCTCAACTTGTTAGTTTTCACCAGAGTGATAAATTTGAATTCTGTCCAATGTAAAATTGTGGAAAAATTCCAGGTTTTAAAGTTCACTGAAAAGTCAGTTAATTATTCTCAGCCACACTACATAATGACAATGCCATAAAAAGTGTATTTTTATCAGTATTTCGTCTGGACTTAAAAATTCTGAAAACAAAGATCACCTGTCTGCCAGGATGGAGCCCTGAATTGTGGTAAAAGAGTAGTTCCTGAAGAAGCAGCCTGAGCAGTTCGGGATTCAACAGCAGACAGAAAGTTCATCACTGAAGATTCTTTAGTGTTAGTGCTGGCGCTGTTCACACTAGTATCAAATATTCCAGAAAGACCTACATTTGAAGATAAAATAGATCATAAAGTAAAAATATGTATTAATATAAAATTGCTATTTCTGTTCTTATTTTAAAAAGGAATCTCTGAAATTTGAGGCCAAAAGCTCTACAACCCTAAACTGTTTTGAAATCGCAAACAAATATTAGTTTGACCAAGTATAGTTATAATTTAAAATCCCCAAAGATCTATGAAAAAAGATCTCCTCACCAATTATATAGATATCCTCTATCAGTAAAGGACAAAGCTTTTGATTTCATTTTCATTTTCACTCTTCCCACGGCTCCATTATGTCCTGCCCACATTCATAGCCCAATATGTGAAAAACTGATTTTTCTTCTTAATCACTAAATGTAGCCAGATTCGTTTTACAAGAGCATTTTTACCAGTTGCCTGAGGTGTGGTAGCATATCCAGGAAGCTGATGAGAGGCTGCAAAAGTCTGTCTCTGAAGGAGATCTGTTTCAGAGTGTGAGGGATGTCCTTCTTCATAGCTTAAACTAAAGGATAATAAAAAATAAGTGACCAAAAACACATAGCTCAAACAACAGGATCAAAACATCTCTAGGAGAGCAATTATCAAAAGTGGCAGAAGTCTTTGACTAAATTCCTGACCTACACATCAATAGATCAAACACAGTCTGACAACACTGTCAACACGGGGAAAATATACTGACGATATACTAGGAAGAAAAATTATGATGCATAGTATTTTCCTTAATTCAACTTGACTTCCTTTTACTGGGAGAGAAGCGACAAGGTACAGTAGGAAGAGCAATATCCTGAAAAATGGGACAGCTGAGTTCATTGTCCGAGTTCTACCTCTGGCTTACAGTGTGATTTCAGTAAGGGACTTAATTAATGTCAGACTAAATTTCTCATCTGTGTGAATGAAGGACTAGACAAGATATTCTCTTAAGTCCCTCTAATTCTAACATTCTATGGAATATCAGATAACTCATATTAATTGATAATTAAAATAACTCACCTAGAAAATTTCAAGTTTGGACATTTTGAGAGTAATTCAGAACAAGATATTTTTTCTCCTCTTGATTTTTACTTTGAATATTTTAAACCCACAGAAAAATTGAAATAGTCCAATGAAAAACTTATACCCGTTACTTAAGACTCAATCACTGTTAACATTTTACCTTTATTTTTCTTTATACACAGATATAAACACACACACACTTCTTTTTTTATTAAACCACTTGAAAATAACTTGCAGACATGACACTACATCTTTAAAATACTTCAGCTGTATCTCCTAGGAATCAGGCATTCTTCTATACAGCCAATTATTATTATTAGACTTGAATAAATTTAACTTTAAGTCAGTAATAGTATGTAATAGAGGTCATATTCCAATTTCCCAATTGTTGCCAAAATGTTTGGGATTTTTAAAGCTCTTTCTTTTTTTTTTAAGATTTTATTTATTATTTGACAGAGACACAGCGAGAGAGGGAACACAAGCAGGGAGAGTGGGAGAGGGAGAAGCAGGCTTCCCGCTGAGCAGGGAGCCCAATGCCGGGCTCGATCCCAGGACCCAGGGATCATGACCTGAGCCGAAGGCAGATGCTTAACGACTGAGCCACCCAGGCGCCCCTTAAGGCTCTTTCTATGTAGAATCCAATCAAGCCCAGAATTCCACTTGGTTATGTCTCTTTAAATTGAGAACAGTGCCTCTAATCTCAGATCCCTTTTGTCTTGATTTCATGGCACAGACGTTGTTGTTGAGGAATCCAAGTCAGTTGAATGTAGACTATCCCAAATTCTGGCTCTGTCCGATTGATTCCTCATGAGAAGTACGTTAAGTGATATTTTGTACTTCTTATTGCATCACATGAGGATGCACATGTCTGTCTGTCTCATTATTGGTGATGCCAAACTTGAAGTGGTTAAGGTACATGTGTCAGATCTCTCCATGTAGTTACTTTTTCTCCTTTGAAATGCAATTGTGAGGTGTTACTTTAAGACTGTAAATATCTTATGCCCAACAGCCAAAGGTTTCAGACATCATCCACTAATGATTTTTAATTCAATTATCACACTGGAGACTGGAATTGGTAGCTTTCTAATTACATCATTCTTTTAATATTTAAAAGGTAGTCTTCTTCTATAAAATAAAAATGAGCTTTCCCCCCTTTTCTCCCTCTCATGTACATGATACATATACTTATATTTTCATATTTTTCAAAAGTGCATATATCTTACACTTCAAAAATATATCACTGTATACTTAAAAAAACTGAAGTATAGTTGACATATAATATTAGTTTCAGGTGTACAACACAGTGATTCAACAATTATATACATTATGAAATGCTTACCATGACACATGTAGTTACCATCTGTCACCATACGTTATTACAATATTATTGACTATATTCCCTGCTAGGAACACTTGTATACAAGTCTTTCATGGACATATGTTTTCATTTCTCTTAAGTTAAATATCTAGGAGTGGAATTACAGGGTCATAAAATAGGTGCATGTACCATTTTACATTACCATCAGTAATGAATCAACATTCCATTTTTGTTTTACATTCTTGTCATGACATGATGTTTTCAGTCTTCCTTTTTAAAAAAGATTTATTTACTTATTTTAGAAAGAAAGAGAGTATGAGTGGGAAGGGCTGAGAGAGGGGGAGAGTCTCAAGCTGACTGTGTGCTCAGCGTGGAGTCCGACGCAGGGCTCAATCCCACAACCGAGATCATGATCTGAGCCGAAACCAAGAGTCAGCCACTTAACCGACTGCACCACCCAGGCACCCCATGTCTTTTTAATTTTAGCCATTCTAGGTAGGTATAGTAGTATTTCATGGTTTAATTTGCATGTTTTTATAGGCTGACAGGCTATTTTTTCAGCTCCTCTTGTCAAGTTTATTCCATTTTTTTGCCTTTAAAAAAAGCGGGTTTAGTTAGCTCTCCTAATGGGTTTTAAGAGTTTTTCTTATATTCTGGATTCACATTTTTGTCAGATATGTACTGTGAATGTTTTCTTCCAATCTAATGGCTTGCCTTTTTATTTTTTAGTGTCTTTAAATAAAAAGCTTTCATCAGTTAGTTTTATTGTGGCAATAAGAGCATTTAACATATCTCTCCACTTAACAAGGCACGTGATACCTGCACTATGTCCTACAGCAGATCTCTAGATCTTATTCGTCTTGAATAACTGAAACTTTATATCCTTTGAACAACTCATTTCCCCCTTCCCCTAGCCTCTGGCAACCACCATCCCACTCTCTGCTTCTGAGTTTGACTAACAAGGTTTTAATTTTTGATTAACCTGATTATATTTTTTTTATAAAGTCAGTACTTATAGTGTCACTAATATATTCACCTACATTTTCTTCAAGTTTTAACGTTTTAACTTTTGTTTAGATCTATAAATTTTTTGAGATAAGGGTAAAGATTCATTTTTTAAACTTCAAAAATTAAGGTATAATTTGCATACAATAAAATTCACCCTTTTCCAGTGTACAGGTCAGTGAGTTTGTACAAGTACATAAATACTGCAAACACTAAGGGAGAGAACAGTCCCACCCTTAGACAAGATTCCCCCTGCCCCTCGGCAGTGAACTCCTCCCACCGTCTCCCAAGGATCTGTTCTCTGTCCTTATAGTTTTGCCTTTTCCAAAATGTGGAATGAATAGTATCATTTAATATGTAGCCTTTTGAGTCTGGCTACTTTCAATTAGCTTAATGTCTTTGAGATTCATGGATGTTTTTATTTTATCAGTAATTCATTACATTTTATAGCTGAGCAGCATCCTGTTATATGGACGCATCAGAGGTTAGTGCTTTTTTGAAACCCATTAACAGTTTAAGGACCTTTGGGTTCTTTCCTGTTTTTAGCAATTCTGAATAAAGGTGCCATAAACCTGTGCATAAGTTTCTGTGTGAAAATAAGGTTTCATTTCACTTGACTAAATACCTGGGGGGGGTGGATGGCTTAGTTACATGGTAATAATGTCGAACTTTAGAGAAACTGCCTACTTTCCAGAGTGGCTATCCTTTCTGCATTCCTCCAGTAATGTATGTGGTCTGACTCTGCATCCTCACTGGCACCAAGTATTATCAATTTGTAAGTTGTTTCTTTTCTGTTTAAAAATTTTAACCATTCTAATTGGTGTGCAATGGTACGTCATTGTGGTTTTTTTTTTTTTTTAATATTTATTTGAGGGGGGAGGGACAGAGAGAGAGGGAGAGAGAGTCCTAAGCAGACTCCATGCTGAATGCAGGGCCCCATGTGGGGCTCAATCTCACAACCCTGAGATCATGACCTGAGCCAAAAACAAGAGTCAGCTGCTTAGCTGACTGTGCCACCCACGCGCCTCCTTCACTGTGGTTTTATTTATTTATTTTTAAAAGATTTTATTTATTTGACAGAGAGAGACAGCGAGAGAGGGAACACAAGCAGGCAGAGTGGGAGAGGGAGAAGCAGGCTTCCCACTGAGCAGGGAGCCTGATGCGGGGCTCGATCCCAGGACCCTGGGATCATGACCTGAGCCGAAGGCAGACACTTAACGACTGAGCCACCCAGGCGCCCCTCCACTGTGGTTTTAATCTGTATTTCCTTAATAACTACGAATGAGGAGCATCATTTGCTCATCTACCATGCAGAAATCTTTGGTAAAATATCTACTCAAATCTTTTGCATATTTTTTATTGGGTTGTTTGTTTTCTTATTATTGAGTTTTAGGTTTTGCCTATATATTCTAGAATCAAATCCTCGGTGAGATATATGTTCTCCAAATATTTTCTCCCACTCTGTGGCTTTCATCCTTATAACAATGTAGTCAGAACAGAACCATTGAAAAAAATTTTTTTTTAAGATTTCATTTCTTTATTTGACAGAGGGAGACACAGCGAGAGAGGGAACACAAGCAAGGGGAGTGGGAGAGGGAGAAGCAGGCTTCCCATGGAGCAGGGAGCCCAATGCAGGGCTCAATCCCAGGACCCTGGGATCATGACCTGAGCCGAAGGCAGACGCTTAACAACTGAGCCACCCAGGCGCCCCAGAACCATTTTTTTTTTAAAGATTTTATGTTTAAGTAATCTCTACACCCAACCTGGGGCTCGAACTTACAACCCCAAGATCAAGAGTCGCATGCTCCACTGACTGAGCCAACCAGGCGCTTCTATGAATTTTATTTTTGCTGTTGTTGCTGAGAGATCTTTGCCTACTCCAATAGCTCAAAGATTTTCTCTTCTGATTCCTTCTGGAAGTTTTATAGTATTACTTTTTCCATTTAGGTCTATGATTCATTTGGAATTAATTTTTTGTACATGGTGTAAGTCTTGGGATTCATTTTTTAAAAATTTGGTTATGCAATTGTCTAAGTATTCTATATTGAAAAAAACTGTTTTTACCTATTGAATTGCCATGGCATCTCTTAAAAAAAAATCAACTAGCCATATATTTGTGGTTCTCTTCTTAACTATTTTGCTGTATCAATATGTTTGTTCTTAGGCCAATAACACACAGCCTGATAAATGATTCATTCAGGTTGTACAAAATTCCAATCTTGTTCTTCAAAATTACTTTGGCCATGCCAGGTATTCTCATACAAAT